GAAAGCAAGTGTTGACCCAAATTCTTCTAAATGTACAACTCTTATTGTTCAGAAATTCTACCTTTGCTTCCTGTGATCCCAAATAAGTCCTCCTTTCTGTTCTCAGGCACAACGATTAAAATAAAAGTTTCAATGAAACGGGAGCAAAGTTTCATTCTTTGGCAGACACAACAATATTCCAATAATAAGATCCAACAACATATTGTTAGGTGTGTGAACTAGACAGATAAAAAACAAATAGAGCTCTAGGCCTTGAGTACCGCTGGGTTTGACAGATTTTTAGTATCTTCTTCCTAGAAAAGGTGACGGAAACCAGACAGAAAAGTATTCCTAGTATCCTTTACACAGCTTAAAAAACTTTTGGATACAAATTTTGATGAAGATAATTGAAATGATTAAGCAACCATCTTTAGAAAGTGGATTCCTGATTAGGATACTTCAAATGCTAACTATATGTCTCTAAAATATATGATAAAGTTCAGTTACACATATGCATATTTCACACTACTTATGTCAAAAATGTTTAAAATAAATTGTTGCATAAAAACTACAGATGTTGGCCGGGTGCAGTGGCTCACGCCTGTAATCCCAGCAATTTGGGAAGCTGAGGCGGGTGATTCACAAGGTCAGGAGATCGAGACCATCCTGGCTAGCACGGTGAAACCCCGTCTCTACTGGAAAAAAAAAAATTAGCTGGCCGTGGTGACAGGCGCCTGTAGTCCTAGTTACTCGGGAGGCTGAGGCAGAATGAGTAAACCCGATGTTGGTTTTTTAAAAAGTGATGATCTATAGGCTTAAGCTTCTTCTAGCTATTATGTCATAATTTTATTTTCGTATTTCTAATTCTATTCTCTCCAAATTGATTATCTTTACATACTTAGAACATAGGTGAAAAACAATATCAAATAAATCTCCTATAGCTAATAAGTGATCAAACAATGAGACTCAAGCTAAAATCTGGTTGCCTGACTTAGTTCTCCACAACCCAGTGTTCTAAACCCATAGGTTAAGTGACTTGAAAACTGGATACCGAAATGCCCATCCATAGTGTGTCAAAACAGAAGATGGAAGAATATTCTAGAAGTTAATAACACTTGCTGAAACATTGTAAATAGCAAGTTCAAAGTGGCTAGCTATTTTCATCCTGTAGGTGGTTGTGATTTAGAAGTTATGAGAGTATACTCTCTTCACTGCAAAATATTTCTTGTGATATTAGTAATAGAAAGTGATCCGAGGAAATGAATAAATACACTAATTCAATGGAAAGGAAGCCAGGGTTGTGCCATGATCCCTCTCTGGGCATTGGAAAGTAGTCAGAAAAATTGGTTTCTCTTCCAAAAGTTACTGCCATTAGTCAGATAACACCTAGGGAAACTTACATTTAATGTCTTCACTAAAGAAAGGACACTTGATGATGATCTTGAAAAAACCATCACATTGGAAAATATGTGGTAGTGATTGTATTGGCAACTCAGATACCATCACAGTTGGGTTCTCTGAGGGAAATTATTTTGAGATGGAGATTGGCATGAAAGAAGTCTATTAGCAAATTACTGTGGAGGAGAGAAGGAAGACAGGCTTGGAGAAAGGGAGAGATTTAACAAAAGCCTCAGCCAACCTAACAGGGAACTCTGGAGCAATGTAAGAGAGTGTGTATGTGTGTGTGTGTGTGTGTGTCCATCATAAATATTTTCTATCTCAAGGGAATACAGTTTTTGATCTACCATTCTGATGGGTAGAGAAAGAACACATTTGACAGATCAGTGACCACAAACCATGTAGCTGACATTGTCTTAATCTATTCTAGCCAAGGTTTCACATCTGGTACAGATGCTGCAGTTAGGGTTACTACTTGGCTGAGTTTTTAATAGTCCACTTTCATCCTCCAGTGTCTAGTTTTTATAGAGGTCAGAGTGGTGAATTAAATGGAATTATGATAAGGCTCAACATTCTCACACGCTTTAGGTCTTGAAGGGTAGCACTAATCTCTGCCTTCATATGGGATGGAATATTAATTTTGGTTTACTGTCTTGGCCAGGAGGTGGGGCAGTTTCAGAGGCTTCCACATGGCTTTCCGTTTAAGACAATTCTAACACACACACCAAGAAAGGAATGGCGGTTCTGTCAACTCCCAAGTATGTTCAGTCTGATTATTTATTCTGAAAGTAAGGAGATGACAGGGAGTCTAAGTAGGGAAATGATCATTTATTCTGAAAGTAGTATCGACAGGGACCCTACCATTGGGTAGAGCCATGAATTCAGTGGACCTAGTGCTAAGTAATACATGGAAAAGAACTCCTTGTATTATCTGAATCCCATATGCCCCTCGCTCCAAAAGGTGGACTCTAGTGATACTCTGGTCCTGAAGTATCAATGTCAGCTTGGACCTTGTGTCTCAGCACCCTCAGATTATTCATGTACTCCCCTTCCTCAGTGTACAGTTATCCAAGTAAATAACCATAGGGACATCATTGCTATACACACTTGCAGTGGTTTTACAAAGACCTTCTTGGAGACCTAGACTTTCCTTCAATCAGCAGTTTCTGCATTTGGAAAATAACAAAAGTCTGAAAATTTGGCAAAAGATTACAACCTTTTATTAAGGAGGCTGTGCCCTATCTCCTGATCACCCATCCTTGAGGTCTTTTGAAGGTATCATTTGAGCAATACTCATTTTATACCTATTTTGCTCCTAAAGATGCCATGTTCCATTAATTGTCTCCAAAGCTCTCTGCAGGAATCCTTCAACCTGGCCACTCATTGTGATAATTGTATGCATTTGTCTTCTGATAGTGACTCACTGCCATTGGGCCTCTGTTCTTCCATGTCCATTGCTGTCAGTGAGCTCATTTCTGTAACAGCATCTGGCCTTCAGAACTGCCACTGAGCTTCTCAGGGATGCTGCTGCCCTCTGACCAATGCATTCCTTATCCCTTTAGTACATGTGTCCTCTGTGCCTTCCTGGGTGTCCCTTTGCCCTTAAGAAAGCATAAATAATATTCTGTGCAATACATCCATGAACTGTAAAACCAGGTGTTTGATCTACTAGTTATAGGGTTTTTTCCCTGGTGCATATTAAAATAAATATTAATATAAAAACTTCAATCCATCTACCACCCAAAATCAACCTCCATACACAGATGAGCCTTTAAGAAGTACTAAAGTAAGAAAATAAAAAATGAGTACTAAAGTAGTCGACAGGGAGACAAAAAGTGGGAAACTCTCTGGCCTCTCACACATCTGTGGCTCCTGGTCCTGCCAAGCACACTGTGACATCTCCAGCGGCCACCTGAGGCACCCCTGCGCCTCTCTCATGCACTGCCATGGCCAGTGGACTTTAGCACACATCTAATTCTTGACTAGCTTTCGGATGATGGGAGGTCCTTAAACCCATGAGTGTTTCAGCCTCTCTGTCCTTTAATTTAAAGGGATGATGGGAAAGAATATCTATCCCTTCTTATGTCAGAAATATAATACACATCCAGCTGAAAAGTAAATACAGGAGTCTTTTAATTCCTTGTAAGGAAAATTTCCTGGATAATTCCATGTATTTTAATAATCACAGAGATAGTCCTATCCTTATTCATTATCAAAATACTGTGGTAACAATTTATACTCTATAGATGCAAACAATCTCATCTATTTTGACATAAAAAAGGCAGAAAGGCAAAACGCAAATTCTGAGACAGAGATTAAAACAACACAACATCCTTAGATTTGTTTATTTTATTGTTTGTTTCACTGTTTCAATGTTTATCTTGCAAGAGCCTACAGAAGTGAGAGAAAATATCTGCAGGCTAATTTTACGTAACATGAGACAAAGATTAAGCACTAAATATAAAAAATAAAACTTTTAATTTACTTATTAAACTAGGAAGAATTTTCCTGAAACACAGCAGTTAAATTGGTCTGCAATGCATTAATAAATGGAGAATACGGATCTTGCCTATGAAATATTTTAAACACTGTGGATGCTACCAAAAAGCTCATTGGTATGCAAAAATTTTCAAGTCACAATCCTCTAAGCAGACTAAATACAAGTTAGTTTTTAACCTGAATTCAGAAGTGCAAAATCTGTAAAAATAAACATATTGTCATTGTTCTCAGCAATCTATGGATTAAACTTACAAATCCTTAAAGTCTTTTAAGTAAAATGAACCATGATCGCTTGATAAGTTCCTTGCTTAAGTGGCAAGTAACTTTTGAACCTGGACTTCTCAATCTGTGGAGAAAAGCAACCTGCATTTGCAGCATTGCTCCCTTTTGAAAATTATCTTCTGAACTGAAGAAGGTCCAGCAAAGATCTTCAGTGCAATACTCTCTGCATATGTGCAAAAGTCTGCATGAGAGTTCCCCCCACAGGTGTAGCTGCCAGCCAACGAACCAGAAACAGATGAAAGACAAGAGAAGAAAACAGAGGTCAAACATTTCAGTTTACAGATGCTATTCCAGATAAAATGCCAAGGGCATGGCCGGGCATGGTGACTCACGCCTGTAATCCCAGCACTTTGGGAGGCTGGGGCAGGCGGCTAACAAGGTCCAGAGATCGAGACCATCCTGGCTAACATGGTGAAACCCCATCTCTACTAAAAATACAACAAATGAGCCGGGTGTGGTGGCACACGCCTGTTGTAGCCCCAGCTACTCCAGAGGCTGAGGCAGAGGAATCACTTGAACCCCGAAGGCGGAGGTTGCAGTGAGCTGAGATTGCGCCACTGCACTCCAGCCTGGGTGACAGAGCAAGACTCCATCAAAAAAAAAAAAAGCCAAAGGCTTTTGGAATAGAAAAGGACAATATACAGAAATGAGAGAACCAGATATCAATAATGTTGGGAATTTAAAATGCATATACCACACATGAACACAGAACTCTTTAAATGCAGCTGTAGGAAGTTCCATTTGGGTCTCCCTTCTGAGCAGTACTCCTTGACATTTCCTTTTTTTTTTTTAGACGGAGTCTCGCTCTGTCACCCAGGCTGGAGTGCGATGGTGCAATCTTGGCTCACTGTAACCTCACCACCCAGGTTCAAGCGATTCTCCTGCCTCAGACTCCTGGGTAGCTGGGATTAACAGCGCGTGCCATCACACCTGGCTAATTTTTGTATTTTTAGTAGAGACAGGGTTTCATCATGTTGGTCAGTCTGGTCTCGAACTCCTGACCTCATGATCCACCCACCTTGGCCTCCCAATGTGCTGGATTACAGGCGTGAGCCACCATGCCCAGCCACTCCTTGTCATGTCTGTCATCTGATACATCTATACTTCTGAATAATCATAACTGATACTCAAAGCGATGCCCTGACACCTCCAAGGTTCTACAAGGTGACCAAATCAGAGAGGTCACATCATGTCTAGTATTATTTTGGGGTTAGCATACATTTTATAATAATTATTTTAAAATTGGTAGTCTGTTTTGGGACTCAATGACAGCTCTCTCTATTAATCATATTATGAACTGAAATAGTCCACTCTGTCAGTAGGATTCATGATCAGAGATTATGATAAAACCAAAACCAAAGCTGGGGCAATGTGGTCTTGGAATGGAACCACCCATTATGAACTATCCATCTGACCAACTCTGTAACTTTCTTCCTAAATGTGAGATCACCAAGGCGTTTCAGTGCACCCTGCACAATTCATGGGGCAGGGTCCTCAGATTAAAGACTTTACATTTATGTAGAATTCATTATCATTTTTCACTAAGCAAACTCTCTATTTGCTCACTCTCTTCTACATGTAATTGTCCAACTTTGGTTGACTGCTGAGTCCTCATGGAAGAATTCCCATTCTGTCCCTGAGCCTCTCCTTTAGGGACTTGGAAATGGAAGGTAGTGCAGTTCTTTCTGGCCATCTGCCAGGCATGGAACCCCAGGCTTCTTGGGGTAAGTTCGACGAGCAAGCTTAAAGAACTCTTCTGCAGCATCAAGTGCAATGAGACGGTCCTGCAAAAAAAAACAACAAACCAAAAACCTGCTGGCAAGATAGGAACCAAGACATGTCAATAGGAAAAATCAATCTAACAACAACAAAACCCACCCTGGAAATGACAATGAGCAAGTAAGACGTTTATTAATTTTTTCCTAACAAATGTAGAGACACACCTTAATCCTTTACTTACATTATCCAAGAAATATTTCCCCACTCCTTAACATCCTTTCAGATTATTTTTTAGTCTTATAGGTTATATAAACAATACTTCTCACGTCTCTTTGACCTACAAATGGTTCAGAAAACATACTACACAGTAGAATCCACTGAAAAAATACAAACTCTTGAGCTGGAACCCAAGCCTCAGTAGGTCTATGTGTGATACGGAAATTCGAACTTTTAAAGCTCTTTAGGTGATTCTGATGCTGCGGGCCACTGGGAATCAGAGTATATAATGCCAGCATCTGCCACCTCATATGTGATAGTGATGGTGGTGCTGGAATAAGTAGGATAGTGAATAGTTTTTAAAAGGCAAACAATTGAGGCAAAATAAGGGCAGATGAAAAAAAGCATCCACTTACCACAACAAAGAGATATCTCTCTGAGAGCTCCCAACTTGTTGGGAAAATATTGGTTTCTTCAGCCAGTTTTAACAACATCTCTCGAGCTTTCCTTGTGTTTTTCGAATCACTGATGGTGCTGAGTTTAGTCACTGACAACAAAGAGTCAGCTTCCTTTTGAAAACCTAAGGTAGAAAAATGTACCACTCATGTATAGTAGTCCCAAGTTAACAAGTGTCCCGCAATATGGTCCCCACAGGAGATTACAAGCAGACCCATGTGGATTCTGTACAAGTATAAAGCATCAGAAAACCGAAGCCAAAAGCACCATTCCATGTGCTGCCTCCCAGATCTCTGTGATTGCCTGGATATTTAATTACAACTCTTTTGGTATTTTTTTTTCTCTTTGTTAACTTTTCCCTCAGAGCCTCAGATACTCATCCACCAGCTGCTTGCCACCTTGTTTCTGGTTTGAAGCCCTCTTTCCTGTCCTCCCTACTGTTTTACCTTCTCCCCTGTCCCCAGAATTCCTACCTGCCTCCCAGTCTGCAAAGTGGTTCCCTCCAGGCTGTCCTTCTCCAAACCTAGATTTCCTTCCTCAGGGTTATATGATTAGCTGGTAAAAATCACTTACCCAAAAGTATAAAGAACTCAAAGACTTAAACCTACTTGGAGTAACTTACATTGTTTAAAAAAAAAATGGCTATTAGCTCACAACAATACTGGATGTGCAAAGAGGGCAGAGGTCCCATCCCATCCCACTGCATGCCAACCAAAGCAACAGAGACTGGTCACATGGCACCCCACGCTTGAAAAGTGATGATGCCAAGATGTCATGTTCTCTTTCAAAGCAAAAGGATCAAGGACTTCAGAACTGATCAATTCACTTTTTAAACACTGAAGTAGGATTATTTTATAATGTGGGGGTCACATTTATTACATCACAATCCTGGGACAACTAAGAAAAATCATTATCATTAACCATTAGTGATGAGGGCACGTATCCAACCTAATGTCACAAGTATTTTTGCCAACCTTGACAAAGCTTTTCTTCCATACTTCTTCTGAAATTCTACACTGAGTTTTGCTGTCTGTCTTGCAAACAATATTTCTCCCAACCTGCTTCATCTTACAAAGCTATGACTAATTGGTCAACACCCACATCTAATTAAATTAATGTACAATGCCAGAAAAAATAAATAAATGGTAGTGCCTATATGACTGCACTGGCCTGTGTACCCTATACTAGGGACAGATGGAGTAACACATGGCAGAGTGTATCCAGAAGACATGGACTGGTGACAACGGAAACATCAGGCATTTATGCTTGAGGATATAAGAGCAAGATTGGGAAAATAATTAGTACACAGTAGCCTTAATCAGTCAATTATTGACATTCCTTTTATAAAAACTATGGTGGAGAAATTGAAGAATAATGATCACAACTAGTTATTTTTACCATTTCACAATCTCTTTCAGACTTACCTAAATCTTCTAAGATGCGCTTCCATCTGTTTCTTACTTCCCTTCGAACCTGCCGCAGGGTATGGATATCATAGTTGAGTTTCTGCCACTCCTGTAGGAAAATAAAAGTTTAGTTTTGTTTATACCCCTTGCCTTAAACCTCTATCTCATTCCCAAACTTCCTGTTGCTTAAACACATGGCTCTTCTCTTTTATTAATCTTCAAAGCATGCCTAAAAGAAGAGAAGGAGACGGATGAGATAAAGTTGATAGGAATAGTATCAGCTTCCACTGCTGGAGAATCTGCTCTGCACCAGGTGATATGGCACCTTGCATAAACTATCTTACTGAAACTCTTCACATTACATAGTCTCTCAACTTAGTGATCTCACTTGTAAAGTGGAGTTAACAATGATAAATATTCCATTTAAGAATGTTATAAAGACTGATGGCATACAGAAAGCACAATATCTGCACACAGTGAGCACCTAATAAAATCTATATATTATTAAAGCCATTTTATAGATGCAGTAACTGAGGCCCAAAGAGCTTCATTGGCTAATCCAATGTCATCAGCTAATAGGTATCAGAATAGATATTTGAACCCAAGTCTGGCTCCAAAGTTCATAAGAAACTGACACACACAAAAACCTATGTCTCCTTTTGTAGTCAGAATAAAGTAGACCTGAAAATCCCAAGTTTCTTGATTCCTGGGCAATGTTTCCTTCACTATATCTCAGCAACATTCTTTTTTACTTATATTCCTTTGATAGCATGAATCTGTCACAAATTCAACTTTATCAACTGATTAAAGTTCTTTATCAGTCCTATGTATAGGATGCCATCATGTTGTTCCAATATAGAACTTGAATCTTTTAGGAGCATTAGGATCTTTATTGAGATAAGTGTGCCTTTAAAATGTCAAAGAAATTTGTTTTTAACGAGCCTTGTCACTACGGAGCAGTCATTTTATAGAGTATACCTTTTACTGTTTCTTAGCAAAGACATTAACCACACAGCTATCCTAATGCACAGACCAAAAGAACATCATTCTAAATGCTCAATTTAGGACTCAAGTTATATGATATTTTGACTCCTCTAACTGAAAATGTTTCAATGATGCCATTATTTCTCTACTAAGTTCTGTTCAAGGCTTGCCTTGTTGATTGCTAATCAACTCATGACTGGTTAAGAAAACCCAATTTAGCTGCCATTCCCAAATGTTTATAGATACCCTTTTGAAAAAAAAAAAAAAAAGGTAGCAAAACAAACTGTGTTTTGTTATGACTGCATTTTAGATCTTGAATCTGCGGATGTGCCATCAGTAGGCCATGGGCTTTCAGCTATTTTCTAGAAGTCAGGAAGTGGCAAATTTGAACACTTTCACCCAGTCCTCTTGTATTTTACCAAAGGCATGTTGAATGTGCATGTGCACGTGTGCATGGTGATTGGGGTCAGAGACAAAGTCTGTGACCTTGGAAGAGCGCAAAGTTAACTAAGTCATATAAGAAATATGCAACCCTGGCCATATCTTTAGCATCATGTTAAAGCATACCTATCTCATCCCCCACAGACTATATAAGTTGTAGGGGAAAAAACTCAAGTACTGCTGTCTTCATTGGATGGGCCTTATTATACTTACTTGGCCACTCAGTATAGCATATTGGAAAATACTGTGGGTGCTGAGCCTGAGTGTCTGGGTTTGAATCCCAGCTCTGTTATTTACTGACAGCCTGACTTCAGAGAAGTTCTTAACCTCACTGTTCCTCAGTTGCTTCATCTGCAATATGGGGATAATAAAACTACCTACCTCATTGGCTTATTGTGAGGATCAGATGAGTTAATGCAAGCCCTTAAAATGGAGGTTGGTCCACATGCTCCTCCAAATCAGTGTAGCACAATTAAGAAACAATCCTAGGTCAGGCCCACTGGCTCACACCTTTAATCCCAGCACTTTGGGACACAGAGGTTAGCAGATCACTTGAGGTCAGGAGTTCCATACTAGCCTGGCAAACATGGCAAAACCCTGTCTTTACTAAAAATAATAATAATAATAATAATACAAAAATTAGCTGGAGGTGGTGGTGCACACCTGTAATCCTAGCTACTCAGGAGGCCGAGGCAGGAGAATCGCTTCAACTCAGGAGGCAGAGGTTGCAGTGAGCCGAGATCACACCACTGCACTTCAGCCTGGGCGAGAGTGAGACTCTGTCTTAAAAAAAAAAAAAATCAGAGGGCCAGGTGTGGTGACTCACACCTATAATTCCAGCACTTTGGGAGGCTGAGGCGGACAGATCACTTGAGGTCAGGAGTTCAAGACCAGCCTGGTCAACATGGTGAAACCCCGCCTCTACTAAAAATACAAAAAATTTGCCGGGCGTGGTGGTGTGTGCCTGTGGTCCCAGCTACTCGGGAGGCTGAGGCAGGAGAATTGCTTGAACCTGGGAGGCAGAGGTTGCAGTGAGCTGAGATCGTGCCACTGCACTCCAGCCTGGAAAACAGAGCAAAACTCTTTTTCAAAAAAAAAAAAAAAAAATTCCTCCAGGACTCAGAATTATTTCTACTATGAGCATGGAGGACATGATACATTACATTATGCAGTATGCAGTTTGTGAGGACCTCCAGAAGAAAGATTTATCTGCTCTAAGTATCAGATGGTTTTATCTTTCCTAAAAATTATTTCATCTTTCTGGATGCTGTAAATTTTATAACTGATCTGTTTCCATTTGTGCCTGAAAATTTCAAGTCCTTTCATGAAAAATATATATATATAGGATTTCACAAGCATTTTTGAATTACTTCAATTTCTGGCTACTTTTTATGTCTTTATTCATATTTTCCTCTTTCTTTCCTGTCTTATTCTAGTTTATCTTATCTCACTATACTTTCATGTAAGTTGTCTTACCTCCTTTTAGATAAAAAGATGGCAGTAAAATAAACGAAATATTAGGAGGAGTTACACTGTACTTATTCTCAATGAAAATGACCCTGCTTTCTGGAATTCATGAAAAGTGACCAGATTCTTAATCACACTTGATTAGAGACCCACTCAATCCACGGATGAGTTGCCTCATATGTTCACACAACTTTAACTTGTGAAATGAACCACTAGGTGGCTTCGCCAACTTGCAATTAGAGGTCTCTATCAATTTTTCTTTTAACTCCATAGGCTGATGTCTTAGGCCTTCTAGGCCTTGTTCTAAGTGCAGCCAAATCTCCGTTTTTCAGAGACCCATTCATCATTGGATCATCCAGGCTTTGGACTTCTAAAACATCCTTCCCTTCTTGCTGTCCACCTATTAGTCATTTTGCTATTCCTAAATATCCACAATGAATGTTACATGAATTCATTCAGTTTCAGTGCCTGTTATTCTGATAAAACATTTTAGGGGGAAGCAACACATAACTAGTAATCAATATGAGATTAAAGATCTGCTAAGGATGAATCCATAGTTGATGCATCTTTGGATCCCACCTTCCCCTACCATGGTTTGGGGACAGTTTGCACATGACAGGTGCTTGTTAAAATTAGTGGAATGAAAATATGGATGTCATACTTCCATATTATTACTGTCTTCTTTTGACAGAATAGTCATGAATAATCATACATGAAAGTATCTGGAAATTTTATGCAAAATTTAAACCTCTAAAACAACTAGCATTGGTAGGGTTTTAACTAAGAATAGGCACTTGATTAAATAATTGGTAAGAGGAGAATCTGGATTCCTCTTAAACATGTGACTCCAAAGAATTGGATCTTGATATGGTTTGGCTCTGTGTCCCCACCCAAATCTCATGTTGAATTGTAATCCCCATGTGTTGAAGGAGGGGCCTGGTGGGAAGTGACTGGACCATGGAGATGGTTTCTAATGGTTTAGCACCATCCCCTTGGTGCTGTCTGTCTCGTGATAGAGTTTTCACAAGATATGGTTGTTTGAAAGCGTGTAGCGCTTCCCACTTCTCTCTCTCTCTCTCTCTCTCCTGCCACCGTGTGAAGAAGGTGCTTACTTCCCCTTCACCCTTCTGCTATGAGTGTAAGTTTCCTGAGGCCTCCCAGCCATGCTTCCTGTATAGCCTGTGGAACTGTGAGTCAGTTAAACCTCTTTTCTTCATAAATTACCCAGTCTCAGGTCGTTCTTTATAGCAGTGTGAGAACAAGCTAATACAGATCGAAATGTAGCAAATGAAAAATAGTGATGTAAAAAATTTTATCCAGTTACGTCGCTCCACAACTAAAGAAACTAACTCCCCTACTCCCTGGCATTAGAGCAAGTCTTCTGATGTCCCTTTCCAATTTTTAAATAGTAATGATTTATTTTTTTAAGTTTGAAACAAGTAATTTGAAAATAACAGTTAAAGGTCAATTACATATTCTTCCCAAGTGACTTCAATGCAATTCTACCATACATCAAAAGCTAAAGTCTTATTTTCTAAAATAATATTATTTGTTTCTCCTTAATTTCTGAAATAATATATTCTGGTCAATGTGATGCCGTGGCCCTGAACTTTAACAATGGGTAAATTAGCAAAGGTGTAGCAAAAGAAAACATGCTGAGCTAATTTCATAAGATACCTGAGAACAAGTCAAACTGAAAAACATAATTGAAAATCAATAACTGAAGATGTTTATAGCTGAATTCTTGGGGGTTTTTTCCTCATCAGTTGTTGGCCAAATCAGATTAGGGTTGCTAGATAAGAAGGTTGAGGCAACAAGATGAAAGGCAGAAAAAACTCAATGTCCTGCCACCATCAATGGCTAATTCTCCTCCAGCTTTTAATCCCCAGGAGCTGACCTTGACCTTGAGTCGTGATTTAAGCTCCTCAGATCACTTTATCATGCATAAAACTAAAACAACATTTGATTCTTTGACCAGCATCTTCCCATTTCCCCCACCCTTTATTCCCCGGCAATGACTGTTCTATGTTTCTATGGGTTTGATTTTTTAGGTTCCACATGTAAGTGAGATCATGCAGTAATTGTCTTTCGGTGCTTGGCTTATTTCACTTAGCACAATAACATCTAGGTCCATCCATGTTGTCACAAGTGGCAGGATTTCCTTCTTTGTTAAGGCTGAATAGTATTCCATTGCAATATATTTAATAAATTACCTTT